CAAGTGGTTACTGTAAGGCTAACCGTGTCATTGGCCTAATCTCTCATAATGTCAATATTTTCTCAGAGAAATTGTCGCTGTGACCGGAGACGGTACTAATGACGGTCCAGCTCTGAAGAAAGCCGACGTCGGATTCGCTATGGTGAGTAGTGTGACCAGATGCTATCTAGCGTTGGAAATGAGTGTGGGCGTAGCTTCTGGAGTTGGACCACGTGTTAGGTTTTCTCGTGGAAGGCGCATCCCCTACCTTTGTACCATGAGGGTTGGGGATTGGGGGGGGGGCAGTTAGTTCGCGTTGCAGGAGTAGGGACCGCCGGGTGCTGAAGCGATCTTCTACGTCTGCCCGACAATTCGAGCAGCAAGGAATAAAATGCATAAACAGAATCGCTATAGCACCCCCGTCCAATGGCGAGTTCTGCAACAGGATCCTATACCCCGACTCTGGTGCAGGGGAAGGAAAACTTCGAAATAGGAATGAGATGAGACATTTTTTGGAGTAGGATAATGTACTGCCTCATTATGCTGGCGCTCCGCCCAACAAGGACGAGCTATCGGCGTTCATCAACAAGTCTAGCCTATGTTCTATTACCAAGTACATACAATGAATTTCGCTGGCTAGCACGACGTAGGTCGTGCACAAAGTTGTCATGCCGTTCTCAGAAGTACCCTGATTTTCAGCCTTGTCTAAATACATAATGATTTAGAGGTTTGATTGCTCTAAAAGATACTTTTCTAGGGTATCGCTGGAACCGATGTTGCTAAAGAAGCTTCGGACATCATTCTTACCGACGACAATTTCACATCAATCGTTAAGGTAAGACTGCACGTGAATGTTAGGTGAATCAATATTGCTTATTTGGGGCCAGCCAGACGCAGTGTTTTGTGGCGCTGCAGTCGTGTTAGGAAATTCTGTTGGATCGTTCACTTACAGATCAACCAAGCATGCCATTGTTTTGGGGATTTCTGATACATCTCTGCTGTTATTTAGGCTGTTATGTGGGGTCGTAACGTCTACGATTCGATTTCGAAATTCCTACAATTTCAACTCACGGTCAACGTCGTTGCTGTGCTCACCGCATTTGTCGGAGCTGTGACGGTGTCTGATTCACCACTGAAGGTCTGATTTCCAGCAATTGCAAAATTTAAAATCAGTGTTTATTTCGTGAAAAGAGTCTTCACAACATGTTGGGTTATTCGCCAATCCCAAAGTTTTCAGGCTGTTCATATGCTTTGGATAAACTTGATCATGGACACCTTAGCATCGTTAGCGCTGGCCACGGAAGTCCCTACCGATGACCTGTTGAATCGAAAGCCAGTGTACGGAAGGTATAGCTGGATGATTACATCTCTAAACGACTGACATGACACCCGAATACACGAGGCGCCATAACGCGCGAGTATTCACTGAACCAAGTTCATAAACGAACTAGGAGAGGTCCACGCGGCTATGAATTTTTTGTGTTTTCAATGTTCGTAACATTGAACCAATTACTTTTGTTGTCGAAAATGGAGTACCTGAGATGGAAGCTGGAAAAACAGGAAAGATCCCTGGTTGAGATAATCAAGATTGGTTCGTGGTTATCAGTTTATTAGAAATACCTACTATACTATTTCAAGGAAAAAATCTCTCATCTCCCGGACTATGGTGAAGAATATTCTTTGCCATTCTCTCTATCAACTGTTGATTCTGTTCACAATTTTCTATACTACGGTAAGCTACAGTATAACCTTATTCTTATTTATCTATTTATTTTTTGCGATTCCGTGACTTACACAAATAGGACATGGCGAGGCAGCAATAGAATTACAATAGAATAGTCATGACCTTACATGGTCTTGACTATTCTATTGTAATTCTTTAAATCATGACGCAGAAGCTATTTTTTTTGGGGGGGGGGGGGGATTAAAGGGTATTTAATGCATTCTAGCACATTAAATATTAATCCATTATCTGCCTCTGAATGAAACAGAATGCATGCGCAATCCCGAAAGAGGTTGATTGAATGCGAAGTGCTCAATCTCTTAAAGGGGTTCATTCTATTACTGCTATAGTCAGAATCCTTCTTTCAATTACGCGATTGCAAAAATTATTTGTCGCTATGAATTAATTTTCCTGTTACCTGCCTTTGAGACTAGCAGGGATTCTTAAAGTAGAAACCACCCAGGGTTAGCTGGGAGATGGAAGGTTGTCAAAACCACGAGTCATTGAATCGCTTTGCGCCTTTATAATTTAGGGACAAGCAAAAATATCCTTCCTCGGAACTTTCAATCACGCAACCTAGCCCTGGCCCTGACGTGAATTCACTACTACTTGCCTTCAGCTTGTCCACAATTTGATTTGTAGCCGCTATGTCGGAAATACCCAGAATAGGTTTTCAAGTGATAAATTCTTGAAGACCGACAGTTAACAGCTCGACAGTAGCCAGGCTCTTCAGACTGGGCCATTTATGCAATTTTTAAGCCGAGTCCTAGATCCTTTGGCATCTGAGCACTCACCGTTTTCAAACGGTTCCTTTTACAAAAATAACCATTTACTATATAAATTTCAGGAGATCGCATCTTTGGCATCAAATCCGGTCTGTATGCTCCGCTTTTCGCTCCTCCTTCTCAACATTTCACCCTTGTTTTCAACGCATTCGTCATGATGACTATTTTCAACGAGATTAATGCAAGAAAGGTGCACGGCGAGCGCAACGTCTTCAAGGTTTGATTTACGCCGTCTCTACAAAATCAGCGGTTATGTTGAATAGAATCTAAAGTAGAATAAATACGAGGTATGTATACGGTGGTGACTGACTTTTACCAGGAATAAGCCTTCTCCGAGCTCCAGTCTTGTAGCCCATAATCCATGCGAGTGGACACGTCGGCATAGTAAAAAGTCACCAACTGCCTTCCTTCTCTCATTGTCTCCATACATCGGAATGTTCCTTGCGATTTTTGTTCCGGGCTAAATTTGTGACGGCCAAAACTGTGATCGTCGAAAAGATCGTGCCAGCTTATAATTCCTCTCAGAACAGTGGAGCTCAGCTGTCCCAAGGAGTCCTGAACCGACCAAATACTTCAACCAATTTGAGACTGATAATAACCAAGAATCGACTATTGTTTGTGTCATAGAGCTACTGATTTTTGAAACGGCATGTTGTCACCTGATCAGGTTTCTTGCTACTTCCTAGAAGAAATAGGTATCTGACCGTACTCGGCTGAAACGGGATAGAAATAGGAAAGCGTCGCAAGATAAGAAGAGCTCAGCTTCTGTTGGAGTTTCGCCGCGTCATTCTGCCGTTTGTTCACCTCATTGCTACTGCGTACACTTATTGCCTAAAAAATACACTTGAAACGGAGAATTTTCATTTTTTTATCAGACCCTATTTTCAGGGCCTAGCTAGTAATCGAGTATTTTGCGTGATTTGGGTGTCGACATTTATCGCCCAGATTCTCATCATACAATTCGGTGCAGCATGGTTCTCTACGGCTCCGTTGACTCTTCATCAGGTTCGTTTGCGCTGGAAATTCTACATTTCTCTGAAAAAAAAACTGAGATTTCTACTGAAGTGAATTTTCAGTGGATCGTCTGCCTGGCGCTTGGCGTTTCAACTCTTCTATGGGGTCAAGTTGTGGCCACAATTCCAAGCAAGAAACTGCCCAAGACCTGGAAAGTTGGACGTGGAGAAGTGGG